GAGCAGGGAGCCCGATGCGGGGCTCGATCCCAGGACCCTGGGATCATGACCTGAGCCGAAGGCAGACGCTTAACGACTGAGCCACCCAGGCGCCCCGAAGGCATTTTTTAAACATTGAGTTATGACGTATATATAAAGTAGAGAGAATGAAGATGGGTAGGATGGTTTCTTCTCTGGAGATGTCCCTAATCAGAAGATTTTTTCTCGGGGTTGATGGAAGGCCTAGAAGGGTAAGATACTCTTACTAGGAAGATTTTGAGTTTCTTTGTACACTGATAGAAGTCTCTTTAAGTCATTTGTTAGACTACTGAGGGAGATCTACAAGGAGGGGTCTGTCTTTGAGATCCTTTTTTTTTTTTTTAGCAAAACCTATTTCCCCTTTCTGTACATGTGTATTGATGAGTTTGTGTTGTGTTCATCTAAACCCTTCCTCTTCTGTCCCCTAAACCTGTTTGTTTTCTCCAGGTGGCCAGGCATGGTAGAATCTGATCCTGACCTGGGGGAATATTTTCTTTTTGCTTCTCATCTTGATTCCCTGCCGGTGAGTTTTCCTGGCTCAGGCCAAAGTAATGAGCAAATCCATCCTAACAGGTGCACAGAATTAGAAACAGACATAGCCAGCAGACATCAGCAGAAACAGACACTTAACTAGAGTGACAAAGACAGAAATAACTACCCACATATAAAAATAAACTTGTATCTAATTAAATATTTAATCATTACTAGGACATTTATGGTTCTGATAAATGTGCGTTGGTTAGGATTCCTGAGGTCAGGACGGAAGAACAGACTGAGGTAGGGTAGGTGAGTCAGGTTTATGGCATCAGATGAGGCCCAGCACCTCCTTCCTTTTATGAATCCTCAGTTCTTCCCCCACCTTTTCTGGCTAGAGGGCCAAAGCAAGGAGAAGGACAAGAGGCCGTAAGAAAACTATTTTTTATTTCAGTCTAAATACCACGTGACATTTTTTGGAGAAACAGTCTCTCGTGCTTGGATCCCAGTCAACATGCTAAAGAACTTCCAGGAGCTGTCCCTGGAGCTAGCTGGAGTGGTAAGCAACCCCTGGGGGTCAGTTGTGATACAGGGAACCTGAAAACTAAATCTGCCTTTTATTTAACCTGATTTTCTCCCAGGGGAAGCTGTGTTGGGAGGAAGTCCCATGTCTGACCAAGTGTGCAAAGGTGAGGTTATTCATGAGGGACTCTTCTTTCTACCCAGGATTGCAGCGGGATAATGATTTTTCTTAGTCTCCTTCCTTGCCTGCAGGTAGGGGGTCTTCCTGAAGACTGCAGTTTTCTACAGTGTAGCCAAGGCAGAAATGAGGGCACATATCAACTCAGGGTTTCTCAGTCAGGTACCATTTGGGGCCTGATAATTCTTTGTTGTGGAGGGCAGTCCTATGTATTTTAGCATGTTTAGCAGCATCCCTGGCCTCTACTGACATCTAGCCAGGGGATGCTACTGCCTCTGACCTCAGTTGTGACAACCAAAAAAAATTGTCTCTAGACATTGCCAGATATCTTCTGGGAGGCAAAACCTTCCTTGGTTGAGAACCACTGAATGAACTAAATAATATTTCCTGCCTATAATCACTTTGGGTTCAGCCAGCCTTAGAAATAAGCAGAGGCCCAGCAGCTCTGGGGCCTTCAAAAATTAAGCAGTATTAAACCAAGTTGCTGGATCTGAAGAAATTTGTGAGAAGCTTAAAAGTGGAATCACCGGAGCTCCTTTAATCTTGCCTCTCCAAATTTTCATGGGATTTACTGTGGAGAGGACACCAAAATGTTGGTTGACTGTATTGCTAGCAACTGGTAACAGGTTTGTTATGGGGGGATAAAGGGAGATTGTGTCTCTAAGCTCAAAAGATTAAGAATAGGAGTATCAGATCAATATCAGAAACTGGAAATAAACGTAGTTAAAGATCATGTCTGGTGAGTAGCAGTATGTTGGAGTCACTTCTTAAATATTTATCATTGACTTTAATCTTCCTCTATTTCAGAAAAAGTGCAGGAACAAGGACTGCAACCAGAAGCTGGGAGCAGCCCTGATGATGGCTCAAGAGGCAGAACAGATCAGTATACAGGTGAGTGTTCAGACCACACACCTGCTCCTCTTTGGGACTTGGGACACGAAGCAAACCATGTACTCTCTACTACAGAAAAGTGGCTTGTCCTTCCCCATCATCCTGCCTTAGTCTTAGAATTAGTCTTTTCTTCCCAGGCCAGATTCCCTTGACTTCTTAAATCATTTATTCTTGGGGCGCCTGGGTGGCTCAGTTGGTTGAGCGACTGCCTTCGGCTCAGGTCATGATCCTGGAGTCCCAGGATCAAGTCCCGCATCGGGCTCCCTGCTCGGCGGGGAGTCTGCTTCTCCCTCTGACCCTCCCCCCCGCCATGCTCGCTCTCTCTCTCAAATGGATAAATAAAATCTTTTAAAAAAATCATTTATTCTTTCCCCTACCCTTGGACAAATGGGATCTTCTCTCATCCCACAGAGAGACAGTTTGTAGTAGGGGGCATCCTACCTCCCTATTTAACTTTAGATCTCAGATGTATGTGTCTTAACCTCTCTCTTATGCAGGGTCAGTGTTTACCCTCAATCTGCCTTTGGGGGTGCAGTGGAGAATGACAAACTGAATTATAAATAAACTGGAAAAAAGAGATTATAGTAATATAGCATATAATTATATAACAATATAAATATTATAAAGATAATATAATAGTTAATCTTCACAGAAATTGAGATAAACAGAACATGAAATTTCAAGTAAAAATTGTATAGAATATGAATATAAAGTCCATAACTAAAGTCTTAAAGACAGAGAGCAAAAATCATCCCTGGGAGATAGTGGATGATGCTTTTTTCCTTGGTTTCCTCAGGAACGTGTTAACTTGTTTGGTTTCCGGAGCCGATACAATGGATCTGACAGTAGTGGGGAAGGAAAAGGTAGGATCAATAGGAGGATGAGGATTAGAGAAGGAGGTGAGGAGAAGACATAGGGAGGTCCTTCATGAGGGCAGCAACTGAACCTTTATTTTATATCCAGTGTCATCCACCTAGTTCTGGATTCTCTAACAGGAGGCTCTGCATGAATGCCATTGACCAAGTGTCCAGGGTGGATGGATGGATAAATGGATGGGTGAAGAGAGGAATGGAGAAAAAAAGAGGGTAGGAAGGGAGGGTGCGTGTTGAAGAGTGGTGGGACTTTGGAAAAGGTGGTGCCGTGATAATCTAGGGCCATGTTTTATGGAGAAAATGCCACTGGGACATGAAAGGCAGAGTTAGAAGACTGCTTCTCTGGGATCAGCGCCATTAACTCATCATCTAATTTATTGGATAAATTCTTTAGCCTTTCCTTCCTATTCCTGTTCTAGACTTAAGTCTTTCTGGGGCTAACAGCCCAGATTCCTGCATGGAGAAAGAAGAGGAAGAGTCAGAGTTGGAAGCAGAGGAGTTGGAAGAGGAGGAAGAGAAAAAAGTAAGATTGATCTTGGGGATTGCTTTTAGGAGATTCCTGTAGGATGTCTGGTTGGCATGGATTTATACTTACTAGGGGACCATCCTGTGCCTGGCTTAGGGTGGCCCTGACTAGCTGGTCTTATCTCTTAGGGGTCTTCAGGGAAGGGGACTCTCCTCTTTCCTCAGTTATTCTCTCTAATATATCACATTTCTAGGAACTTATTTCTTGGTTATCATCTCAGTTCTTAATGTAGTGCTTTGGTTCTTACTAGAGCAATTTCAGAGAATAGCAGGTTGCCTCTCTTCACTCTCGGTCCTCCCTTGTGTGGACCCTTAATCTTAAGTGTCTTTTTTTTTTAAAGATTTTATTTATTTATTTGAGAGAGAGCATGAGAGAGAGAAAGAGCACAAGAGGGGGGAGCGGGAGAGGGAGAAGCAGACTCCCTGCTGAGCAGGTAGCCCGATGCGGGACTCGATCCCAGGACCCTGGGATCATGACCTGAGCCAAAGGCAGACGCTTAATGACTGAGCCACCCAGGCGCCCCGAAAACTCTTACTTTTTAACTCCCAGGACTGTTCCTACTACTACTATTGATGCTTCCATCTGTTAACAACAAGACAACAGGCCCAAAATGCAATTGCTTCTATTAAGCCCCATGTCACCAAAACAAGACTTAAAGTTTTGGCTCTCCCAGAAATAGAATCTTAGTTTACAGCCCATCAGGAATCACCTGATCAGCACTAGTTAGGTAATCTGCCTAACAGACCCCTACCATCTCCTACAGGAAAGTAAACTTGCCATAGCTAATGCCCTTTTTTGCCTAGTGTACCTTCCTTGTTCCTGCTCCTCCTGCCAGTACAAGTCTTTCATTTCGTACAGCTCCTCTGAGTTTCTTTGTACCCGCTAGATCAGATGCTGCCCAATTCATGAATCATTGAATAAAGCCAATAATATCTTCAAAATTTACTCAGTGAATTTTTTTTTTTTTTAACTCATCACTACCACTTCCACTATTGACTAGTGCCTGCCTTATGTAGGACAGGACTCTAGGCACTTAAAACACTGAGGATTGTTGCTTATCTTTAAAACAGTAACTCTCATTATCCCCTGGCATGTGATTGACGCTGCTGAGGAGGTAGAAGTGTAGTCCAGAAGGCCGAAAATGTAGTTCAGGAGTCCCAGGCAAAAGATCCTGAGCCCAAGAAGACAGAGAGAGAAGAAAGTTTAAAATCATGTTCAATCAGAGTTCTAGCAGTTACTTTCCTTTTTCTAACAGAGGCACAAAGAAAGTGTAGCTTCTGAGCTGAATGATGACAACATTGCAGAGTAAAGAAGGTGAGTCAAGAGTGAAGGAGGTTCACATTTTATACATTTCTCTCAGTTTTCCCTTCTTTCTCAGTCCTTGGTCGTTTTGATGCCCTTCCCACCAAAGGGAAGCTCAGTCCATATATATTTTACGTGCACTTCGTTAAAGTTACTACTTTTCTAGAAACTTTGAGTGAAATGTGTATGACTTAGAAGCAGTCCAGCTCAAGAAATGTACGAGCTCATATGGAGACAAGAGATATTTTAATATCTATAACACAAGTTTGAATGTGGTAAATGCCACCAGAGATGCATGAAGTGTTGTGGAAACTGAGAAGAAAAAGATACTACTTATACCTGGGAGGATCAGTGTAATTTTCGTTGTACTAGTTTGTTTTCTTTCCCCTCCAATTTTTCTAATTTCCCATAAAATTTTGTTTAAAGTTAAAATGAGCAAATTTTAAAAATTTCCATTTGAAATACTCATCTTCCTGCATGTTCATATTTGTCACCTTTGAACTACTCAGTAGTTCCTAAACTCAGCATCAGAATAATCTAGATGGCCTTGTAAAATGACAGATTCCTAGGCCTCACTCCCAACTATTTCATCTGAATCTCAGGGGGTGGGGTGGGGTGGGAGAGGAGAGGCCTAGTAATCAGATTTTGTTAAAAAGCTCTCTCCAGATAATTCTGATATCCCCAGTCAATGGGCAATGCAAACGCTTTCTGTGCTAGACTCTGTGTTTCATAAATTCCATTTGATAATCAAATTTCTTTCAGAATGTGGGAAGGGGCCAAAGAAAACCTTTGCCCCACCTGCACAAAAATTGCATAGCTTGATGTGCTATAGCCCTAACCCACCCAAGGAGGAGACCCTGGAGATCAGTTCCCCAAAGGCCAGGTCAGAGAAGAAGGAAGAGAAAGCAACCACAGAAAATGGTCCAAGCGGTGGCCAGGAGAATAAAGGAAAGCCTCAAGACAAGCAAGCAGTGAAGAAAGAAAAGGTATCAGTCTCATTGACGGGTTCTAGTGGGACAGTTTCTCCTAGATATCCAGTCTAAATGATCTTTTATGTAGAGGAACTTTCAGTTTTTATTCCTTTCTTGGGGCTTCTATTTTCTTCTCCAAGAGGTAAAACAAAAAATCTTGATGAAAGCCTTTAGCTGGAAATAATGGCTGGGTAGGGGTTGAGGTGGGATGGAGGTGAGAGTGGATGTGGTCGGAGACTTTAAAAATTTTCCTTTTCTTTTACTCCTTTATTCCCAGGAAATCTGGGATAGAGTGTATAGAATCCTTAGGGACATTGACTTCATGTTTGCAGCCTTGCGAACTTACTGCCTCGTGTAAAAGAGTCTTCCCTGACTGGTCAGAGAGGAGACCCGGGGATAGACGAGTGGTTTTCCTCTTCTGCCCTTGTCTCTGTAGGAAAGAGCAAGTCTCACCAATGCAGAATTTGAGGAGATTGTCCAGATTGTGCTACGGAAGTCCCTCCAGGAGTGCTTGGGTATGGCTTATAGTGAGAGAAGAAGATTTCAGTTAGACAAACTGTTATCTGAGGGGTAGAGTAAGTTGACATCTGTTCTCCTTCCTTCTAGTTTCCTAAGTAAGGAAATACTAGATGGACTTTAAAATATTTTTAAATAGTTCATCTTCTATCAACAGGACTATAAACCACCTTAGACAGGGGGTACAGGCTGTTAGAAAAGTGAGTTACATTGACTTCAGAATAAAAATACAATCTCAGATTGTTTTTTAAAATGTAACTTAAATTCATTTTTACATGTTTACAATCTACTTAGAAATGATAAATTGTATTTCTCGGATTCGAAGAACGTAGTTTCCATCTACCCTTGTATATTTCTGATTCCAATACTGTTTTAACATTATGCTTAGGGATTTGACTTTTGGAATAAAGAACTCTATAGTGTAGGGCCTGAGGACTTCACCGTATGTCCTGAGGAGAAGGGGAATAGTTTGATGTTTTCAGCTATTCGTAGGTGTACTTCTATTCTTAGAGAAAGTTTCAGGAACAAATGATATAAAACACAGTGGTGTAAAATTTCTGGTATGTACACAAAATAAAATTGACATTACCTGGCTATCCTGGAATAAGGCAGATCAATCTGGAAAGACTTGCCGAAAGATACAGATTTGTAGTTTTTTTCTGAGAATTTAAAGACTTAAAGTTCTGTGATAATGACAAAACTCCAAAGGTGGGCTCTTCCAGACAACAGGTGGAAGACATTTTAATGGAAGGCTGCCATTTGGAAATAATCGAATCAGTATTTTCTTAATTGCTTCTCTGCATATAGTATTTTGTTTTGGGAGAGATGGGATCTAGCCTTGATTTTGCAGGTACTTCCTGTGCCCAGCCCATAAGATGCACCCAATTAGACAAGGAACCAAGAATTGCTTCTTCTACTGATAATGACAATGCTGATGGGTAAGTTTATCCCAGTGAGGCGAGTTGATCACAGGGTGGACTTAGCATTGGTAAGTGGTTATCTGTCTATCTAGTCGTTCTCATATCTCTATGAATTTTTCTCAGGAAAGATACCTGTTTGAATTGGGAAAAATAGGCAAGTAGATGGATAAAATGGCCTCAGGAAGCCTTAGAGAGCCTAGGATTCTTCTATCTTCCTGACTTTTACCCTTGGGTTTTTTTTTCAAAAGGAGGGTATGACATATTCCTCCTTCTTGCCTTTTCATTAAAGAAAAAAATATTATTTTCAGAGAGAGGGTAATGGCACCACATATTCTAGAGATTTCAGCCACTGAGGAAGCTGGAGTAACCTCTGTGATAAAGAGATCTAAGCCAGGCCAGCCGGATCCTGCACCCTCTGAGAAGAAATTCAGCAGATCTTCCCTAAGCAAAGGAAAGAAGGGAGCTCGTAAGTACAGTCAGATATACTTTGACATCTGGCTCAAGTGCCTATGGCACAGAATTAGGGAACGGGACAGTGGGCAGGCAGAGAATCTTCAGCCCAAGGCTTGAAACTCTTAGGCTATGATTCTTCTTCCTTCTTTCACTGGCCCTTACTATCTACATTCTCTTCATCTCCCTACCCTACAATGTTTTGTTTTGTCTTCCCAGAAGATGAGAAAATGGAAAAGGCCCAAAGTGGACATGAGCAGAGACAGAAAGACCAACTGAAAAAACCAGTTCAAGATGATTCTCAGACCAGAAACCAACAAAAAGGAGAAGGCGGTGGTTTTGGTGAGTTCAGCATGATTTGGAAAACTTACCTGGGCTTGAAAATTGAAGATAGAGACGGAGAGAGGCAAGGGTTGGGTTGCTGGAGGAAATTCTGCAAAAACTGTAATTTATCTCTCATAGCTACTTGTCAGGGATATGCCATGGAAGAGAAAGAATTCATTAATTCATTTATTCAGTCATATAATCCATAGTTGTTAGGTGCTTACTATATACCAGCAATTTTAGGAGGTGCTGAATAAATTCAGAAGAAATTAATATATGCCTGTTGGAAGGGAAGCGGGCTTGTGAGGAAGGCAAACAAGAAAGCTGCAAATCGGGAGTAGATCTGGAAAAGTTTCCAAGAAAAGATACGTTTTGAGCCATATGTCAGAAGTATAATTTAGTCAGGTGAACCGAGGTGGGGATGGGGGTCAGAGTGATAAATATTGGCAAAGTTATGGAGGAGAGCTAATGGTTGTAGCTTTTGGGTGTATGGGGGTGGGTAGGAGGTTGTAGGGGGATATAAGGCTAGAAGCATGCAAGGGCCTTACATGTCAGGCTAAGGAATTTTAATTTAATTTAATTTAATTTTTTTTTTTGAATTTTATTTTAAAAGTAAAGAGGAGGGGTGCCTGGGTGGCTCAGTCGTTGGGCGTCTGCCTTTGGCTCAGGTCATGATCCCGGGGTCCTGGGATCGAGCCCCGCTTCGGGCTCCCTGCTCTGTGGGAAGCCTGCTTCTCCCTCTCCCACTCCCCCTGCTTGTGTTCCCTCTCTCACTGTGTCTCTGTCAAATAAATAAATAAAATCAAAAAAAAAAAAAGGTAAAGAGGAACCACTGGCATTAAGTAGGGAAAACTTGGTAAGATTTGTATTTTAGAAAGCTCACCCTGCCACTGGCATGGAAAATGAATTGGTGGGAGCACAACTAGACCCACAGAAATAGTGATCCAAGTGAGGAAGACAGTAGCAGTGAAGAAGAAGAGACAACGTTGAGATTTTTAGGAGGAAAGACCAGTATGGTATGGTTGCCAGTTAGATCTGAGAGGTGAAGGAGAGTGAGGCCTTCAGGATGATCCTGTTTTCTGACCTGAGTGGCTGAAAGAACCATCATTTGAAATGGAGAATATAGAAGAAAGAGCACATTTCAGATGGTGAATTCAGCTTTGAACAAGTTAGGGGATCTGTGATGAGCTTTAGCATCCAAGAAAGAGCTTTAGTATCCAAGAAAGAGATCCAGGAATACGGATTTGGGAATCTGGATGAAATTTTCCAAGAGGAAGACATGGAGAAGAGCAGTGAATAGAAAACCCATAATGTTTAGGGGGAACATAATGTTTAGGGTTGAGCACAGGAAGAACTGCACGGGGAGAAAACTAAGAACTAAGAGAAAACTTATGGACGTGGAAGGAGATCTAGGAGAGTATGACATCACAGATGTCAGGGTAGGAGAAAATTTCAAGAAAGAGGAAGCGTTTAGCCTTGTCCAGTGCTGCTACAGAGACATCAGAGGATAAAGATTTGAAAATGCTCAATGATGTTACAGTTAGGAAGTTACTAAGGTCTTGATTAGAGCACTCATATGGGTTGGTAAGGGTGAATGGCCAGTTTAGCTGGTTGAAGAATAAGTACTTTTTCAATTAGTTTAGATGTGAAAACCAGGATGAAGAAAATGGTAAATAGAGGGGAGTGGGTGTAGAGTTGAGGGGCGGCTTTTCTTTTTTTAACTTTCTTTTAAAAGAAAGAGACTTGACCTGTGTGTTGTTAGCATATGTATATGCTGAGGGAAAATTGTTTATAAAGAAGGAAAGATTGGGGTGACTGGGTGGCTCAGTCGGTTAAACATCCGACTCTTGATTTTAGCTCAGGTCTTGATCTCAGGGTTGTGAGTTCAGTGCCCGTGTTGGGCTCCACTCTGGGCACAGAGCCTACTTAAAAAAAAAAGAACAAAAGAGGAGACATTGAAGGGAATGAGAAGAGAGCCACAGGGCTTATTCTTAGAAAGGACACTTTAGCCTTTGAGATTAGATGGAAGGAAGATAAACATGGATATAGATTTATTTATTCTTTTAACAATAGTTATTAATGCCTTATGTTCTATTCCAGGCAGTGTGCTAGGTATTGGAAATACAGTGGTGAACAAAATAGATAATCCTTTCTTTCATAGAACTCATGGTTTTAGTGTATTGGGTAATAAACAAATATAGGTTATAACCATGATAATTTTGGGAAATTTTAGAATGAGAAATAAAAGAGATCAGATGATGTGTTAGTATGTTTAAAATTTTGAAAATAAATACACTTAACAATCTGGGGGGAAAACAGGCTTGCTCCAAAAACAGGCTTGTAGGTACTTGAAAGAAAACTCTAAAAAAAAAAAAAGAAAGAAAGAAAAGAAAACTCTAGGCAGGGGCATCTGCGTGGCTCAGTCGTTAAGCGTCTGCCTTTGGCTCAGGTCATGATCCAGAGGTCCTGGGATCGAGCCCTGCATTGGGTTCCCTGCTCAGCTGGAAGCCTGCTTCTCCCTCTCTCTCACTCCCCCTGCTTGTGTTCCTGCTCTTGCTATCTCTGTCAAATAAATAAATAAAAATTTTAAAAAGAAAAAGAAAACTCTAGGTATCACACAGGATAGTCCAAGGCAATAAACTGCTTCTTGTGTTATGATGACATGGTAACATAAGGAGCCGGAGGTGTAAGTCTCATTTGGGCAATTGGGTTGTCTGGGTGGCGGTGTTCCATCTCCTGCACCTCTCAGTATTAAGGCAAGGATTGGATTTTCACTGGGAAATGGAAAGTCCACTCCTTAGGCAGTGCTCATTGAGTCAAATTGTGATTGTCGTGAATATGTAAGCCTCTGGCTGTAAATGGACTGCTCTTCCTGTTTCTTCCAGTTGCCAGGGACAGATGAGTCCTCCTGGAGTAGGAAGGAGGAAGGGCAGTATCTGATAAATACAATCCATTTGTATGAAGTGAGGGAAAAGAATGGAGTGTCATCACAGGAAATAAGGGAGACCTAATCAAGATTGGGCCAGTCAGGGAATGCAGCTGTAAGGAGATGGCTGTTAAGCTGAAATCCGAAGGAGGAGCAGGAGTAGAAGAAAGAGTTTAGGGAGAGTGCAGTTTGGCATATTCTGGGTATTAAAAGGAAGTCAGTGTGATTGGAGTTTGGAGAGCAAGGAGAAGCAAGGCAGGAAAGTGGCTCTGGATGAATGTACAAAGTGAGGATTTTATCCTCAGTGCAGTGGGAAACCACTGATGAGTCTTCACCAGGGGAGTGATGTCATCAAATTAGTATTTTAAAAGGCTCCCTTTGGTGATTAATTGGCGAATGAAGTATGTAGGGACAAGAGTAGACAAGTGAGTCCTAGGATTAGATACTTTGGTGGCTTGGAGGAGGATGATGAAAGTGGAAACAGAAGTGGATGGTTTTAAGATATGTTTTAGAGGTAAACTTGTCAAAACTTGGTAGTGAATTGGATATTGTGTGTGAGAGAGACGAGAATATGTTAAAGATGATTGGTTTCTGGCTTGAGCAGTTACATGAGAGAAGGTGGGGAAAAGTGGAGGAAGAACACATTGTGGGATAAGATCAAGCATTTGGGTTTGGGCCTGTTAGGTTTGAGATCTTTGTGAGACATCCAAATGGTGAAGTCAAAGAGCGAGGTGCCTGTAGGGATCTGGAGCTCAGAACAAAAGCTAGAAGTATTATTCATCTGTCTGTGGTCAGGTGTGGAGATGGGTCTCAAACCTGTAGGAACGGGCGAGCTCGCCTCAGGAGAAAGTGTGGCATGGGAGCAAAGGCCCGTGACTGGGCTTTGGGATCCCAACATTTGGAGACTGAGTGGAGAAGGAGGAGGAAAATGCCAGAAAGAGTGGAGGGTGGGGAGAGGGCGAAACGGAAGGAGGAAGGATCACAGAACCCAAGGAAACAGGTGTCCACTGAAATGCTCTTTGTGTCTCTGTGCCATCAGTCTTCATTATCATAGAGCTGTGTCGTGAGCCTCAAACAGTTTTCTGGAGCACATCATCCTCTCTTCTAAGTTGTTTGAAAGGAAACTTTAAAGAACTGTGTGTTGCTGTCATTAGAAATTTTATCCCAAGCCGCACAAATATACCTAGTTCTACATCATTAGGATGACTTTTCTCCATTCATTTGCTCACGAATATTCATTATTTTCACAACCAACCATTTATTTTATTAATCTGTGTTTACTTTTATGGTCCCTGGCCCCTTCTCCCACTCTTTTTTCTAGTCTTGGTAAGTCTCCTCTATAAACATCAAAAACTATCATTGGCAGCTCTTTTTGTTTTGTTTTGTTCTGGTTTGGCTTTTTTGGATGATATTGTTTTTATGTATACAAAGTTTCCAGATTTTATATTATCATATCGAAGACACAAGATGCCAGCCCATAGTGATCAGAAGAAAACCCAGGTAGGAAGCCAACACAGAAGGTTCCAGTGGACCTGGGCTAGCCGGGCCTGTGCAGAGTCCTGATACCACCGTCCATTGGCCCAGAGGCAGGGCTGGCTTGTTGGGCACCCTCACAGGAGGCCTGTGCCTGAGCCAGGTCCACAGGGGCTCTCTGTGGATTGCCCAGCGGCATCCGCCTCTAACTCCAAATTACAGTCCTTCTGTCTTGGTCCTTGCTCAGCTTTCTCTGGTTGCTGAGGCAGAAGGTAAAGATCTGTTTGGGCTAGACATTCTCATCGTCGTGGGACGGGGGTGGTAGCAGCGATGGAGGGGCTGCCCAGGAGCGCAGCGTGGAAGAAGGCAGGCCCCAAGTGGCATGGCTGCCTGTCACTGCAAGCCTTGCCTACCAGCATTACCGGAGGCGTGGATCTCACTGACCCACAGCAGTTGCTGTGGTGTCGCACACACGTGTGTGTTCCAGGCTCTGCTGCTGTCTTTTCAGACTAACGTATCGTTCCTGACCAGTGCTTTTTTCTTCAAATTAAATTAATTCAGAATGTGATGCATAATATGAACTACCTTGAAAGGACCCAAATAAAAGTCAGCTGCTTCTCTGAGGGCCGATTTCAAGGGGATGGAGGGCATCCCTTATGTTCAGGCATGGAAGGTAAAACTTGACAGTGGGCAAATGAACTCACTGGAGAAACATATTGGTTGATATTGTTAATTGTGATGGTATGGTGTAGACTCATGTGCCTGGTTATGTGATATTTCTCTAGCAATGCTCAGTTGAATGAATGTAGGCACAGAAAAGGTAGAATGTGTTTATTCAAGGTTGTGTTGGGCCAGCTAGGTGGGAAGAAGGACAGAGGGCAAGGGAGTTGAAGATGTCTGCAAGAGAATCTAAGGAGTCAAACCTGAGTAAGTATAGTGAAGAAAGGAGGTCGCTACTAGATTGGGAAGAAGTTAGGGGCCAGTGGATTGGTGATCTAGATAAAGTGAAAGTTCCTTAGAGGTCTTTGGGCAAGTGTGGTGGAAGGATGGGGCATTTTTTTTATCAGAGAGGGATGTTTGGATAAGTGGGTTCAAGGGTGTGTGAGGTCCCTATGGATGACTGAGTGGGGCATGCAGGAGGGGAGTGCATCACGAAAGTGAAGTGCATTACTGAGGTGGCATGGAGGAAAAGACCAAGGAACTCAGAGAATGGGGTGCTTCTTTGAGTTACCTCTTGAGAACAGCAGTCATCTGGAATGAGGGCAGGAGATGGATAGGAGGAGGAGAAGGCTGAACCAGATGCCAGCATCTTTTCAAGGGAGATGAGAGGGTGGTGTAGTCCCATGGCATGGATCTCAAGGAAGGAAGGATTTTTGTTTTTTTTGTTTTTTTGTTTTTTAAGATTTTATTTATTTAGGGCGCCTGGGTGGCTCAGTCGTTGAGCGTCTGCCTTCGGCTCAGGTCATGATCCCGGGGTCCTGGGATCGAGTCCCGCGTCGGGCTCCCTGCTCGGCAGGAAGCCTGCTTCTCCCTCTCCCACTCCCCCTGCTTGTGTTCCTGCTCTCGCTATCTCTCTCTGTGTCAAATAAAT